AAAAAAAAAAAAAAAAGAAAAAAAACACTTAAAGGATAAGTTTAGTTTGATGATGCATTATCACACCACTCATACCTCCTACATTTGTGCCACGTGCATCGTATTGCCCTCATCTAGAGATTGTTACAGCCGCACTCTAGCAAAGAAGGTGTCCCCTAATTAACTTTTTCTTTTTTTAAAGAGTATAAACTTCCAAGAATGTTAGGTTTAATTTTATTAAATTTTAAAATGGGTGAAAAAAATTAAAAAAGAAGAAGTTATTTTTATTATAAAAAAAGTATTTATGTAATTTATATTGTATTAAATTATAAGATATTATATATTGGATGGAGGTTAAATCTTAACCTTGAAAACTTTTTTCATTTAATAATACTTTTAAACTAAATTGTAAAATATAACCTCTTTTATTATGTAAATTAAAAAATTATATTATATTCACTTGAATTTTATAGCTCATTATTGTAAGGTAAAAAGTGTAACTTTCAAGTTTCAACTCTAAAATTAGGTTTCGAATCTCCTTAATTGTATTCTGTTCAAAATATATATATATAAAAACTATATTATATTATACAAAACTATCTATTAAGCATAAATTGAGCCCTATTATTAGGTGTACTCTAATAGTCATGTATTTCTGGCGGACAATAAAGAAAGATTAATAAAAATTTTTAAAAATAATAATGAGAATATAATAACAAAACGCACCGTTGAAGAAAGTTAGCTTCTAGGTTTTATCGCCTAGGGAGCTTCTTCCCTCAGGGCCTGTTGAAGTCTGAGCTTCATCAGCAGCTGTTGTGGGAAAAGAACTGATCTTTTTCTTCCTTTCTGGAAATCGAGAAAAACCAATTTCAAATAGCAGAGCATATCACAAATTCGCAACCATGACGGGTATATATATATATATATATATATTTTTCACTATTTTAACGATCAAAATCTAGCATATTTGTCTATTATTGAGCTTATTGCATCACTGCATGCTAATTCTATAATCTCAATTGCATGATTGAGTTTTTTTTTTCTTTTTCCCAAACTTTTCTTGATTAGATGCAATATATATTTATTTATTTTTGAGGGGAAGATGCAATATATATTTGTTTCTTTGTAATTTACCAATTTGTTTCTCGTGTCAAATTCGATCTTAGCATAGCGTAGAATTGTAAAATAAGCTCCTTTGTGTAATGGGAGACGCTGAGAAGATGAAATCGTTTCTTCATATTGGAGAATAGAAATAGGTGGTTGTTGTTGTTTCTTTTCTTTTCTTTTTTCCTTTTAAATAATTTGTGAGCTTTTAGGATATGGGGTTTAGTAAGATGTCATGTTGCAGGATGGTAGAGATTAAAGATTAGTTTTAAATTGATCGTGCAAAAGTGAAGATTTCCATTATGGGAAGATTCTATCAGATACCTAGGCACCAAGGCCTAGCTCATTCTTATGCGCTAAGGAAGTCACTGGCTATGCAATTAGCTGAGAAGAGAATTTTTCTTCTTGTGAATTTTTATAGGGAATTAGACAGATTAATGGATGATCGGATTGAAATCTTAGAATAAAAAGTTGCTCATCTTCATTTTATGTGCTGAAATGAGCAAATAACTTGCATAATCTGTGCATGAAAAAGGGAATGAAATTTATTATTCAACCCTATAGATTACACCACAATTATATAAACAAGTTCCTCTAAGCAAGTTTTTATTCTGTCAAGTTCACAGAGGTATAAGCCTCTCTAAATTTAAAAAATGGTTCCAATCTTTTGGATGGTAGCTTTTTCTAGTTTAAAGAAAGGAGATGGCTTGATATGCTAAATTCATAAATTCAATAATTTGAAAGTGCTCAAACTGGAAAACTGAAATTACATACATATGATATGCAGAAAAACTGTAAATTTGTTCCCCATGCATTTTTGGATTGGTCATATTTATCATTTATCAACGGATGCAATTTGTATCAATCCGTTTATGACATTTATTTCAACACTTGCTTTTCTTTGAGTCTAAAGTTGAGCACTTTTTACAGATTACACACAGGAGCAAGATATGGAAATAGAAGCACTAGAAGCAATACTTATGGATGATTTCAAAGGTTTGTGTCACCTCTGTCTCTGGAAATTTGATGGTATTCTGTCAGTCAATCTTAAACCAATTTCGTTGTTTCTGGTCCTTACATGTATTGAATGCTATTTGTACCAGAAATTCATTCTAGTGAGAGTGGGCTAAATACTTCTAATCGGTGCTTCCAAATAACAATCATACCTCAGGTACAAGTAGTCTTAGTCTTTGGGTTATCTGCCATTTTCAGCATTCTGAGCACTGTCTTTTTTTTAGTGTTTGTGTGTGTGTGTGGGTTTTTGATGAGTTTGTAACACACCATATAACAAATTAAATTTTTTCTTCCATGCTCATAATAAACAAAAAACAGATAATATCTTATGCTGAAAAAAATATTTGTCCTCTTATTTGTTTTGCTTACTTTTTGCTGAGCAGGATGATGAAGCAGACGAATCAACCAATCCTCCAGGTTCCTGTTATAGCAAAATTTGATCATGCTTGTTTTCCATTCACTGAGAAATACATAAATGAGTGCATAACATCAAAAGCAACTCAATTAATTTTAGTATAGTTTTATTCCACGTTAAAATAAAGCATTGCCCAAACTTTTGTTTCAGTTCAACTGGGTTTGATTTTTTCGCACACAGAAAAGTATCCTGATGAGCCTCCACTTTTGAATGTAAAAAGGTTAGTATGCCCTTCCTATGCAATGTGCCAATTAGTGGCTTGTTAAATATGCTTTTAGTTGATTTTTCACTCACAGAAAAGTATCCTGATGAGCCTCCACTTTTGAATGTAAAAAGGTTACCATGCCCTTCCTGTGCAACGTGCCAATTAGTGTCTTGTTCAATTTGCTTTTAGTTGATTTTTTACACACAGAAAAGTATCCTGATGAGCCTCCACTTTTGAGTGTAAAAAGTTTACTATGCCCTTCCTGTGCAATGTGCCAATTAGTGTCTTGTTAAATATGCTTTTAGTTGTTATCTACCATATTTTCTTTTTCCTTTTTATATGTAAGTTTTATGTTAGCATTCCATTGTTTCCTATACCACATAATATAATTGAATATATCCTTCTTTGGCTAAATGTTTCACTTACCAAAATACCAGTTGCCTTTTTGATTAAGGCTTGCATGTATCGATGTTGTATTTGAGAACTCCATTTATCATTTCCAATTGATTTTATATAATATTTCAACTTGAACTCCTCTGTCAGAAGTTATACTGAACCTTATCTGCTTAAACCATCATTAGGAATCAGAATGTGATGATGTGATCAAATTGAGTTCTTGGGTGTTTTAGGATCGTTTTCAAGGAATGGGCACACAATTCTTAACAATGGGCAAATGATTCAAAAACATTATTTCAAGACTGTTTTTCTATGATCAAATTTTTAATTACTTAGGCCAAGTGTCCATTATGAATCATTGTCTTTTCCAAACTTTCTGGACATACAGAAGGCAGGTCCAAAACCATCATTCCAAAGGTGGCCACCTTCATGTTTGCCACACAGTTTAGGAGTTAGGAGTTAGCTGCTTTGTTCACACGAGGTATTGCTCCTCTTGTGAAGATTAAATACGAAATGAAAAGTTTTTAATACAATTATGAATTAAATCATTGCAGTTAATCGAGCTATACTATGCCAGAGGTGACTGTTATAACATATGATGTGTCAAGGGTGACATTAGTGTGGGTTACTTGCTGATTATACTATCTATATTGAAAAATCTCTATAATGAGCTTTTGGAATCCAATTTAGAATTCATAGGTTAATTGTCCCTCAAAGTGCAAAATTGTAAAGAATAAAAATCCATTTGAAGATTGCTTTGTTGCCAGAATTATCTTATTTTGACATTTTAAAGGTAAATGATAAATTATTTGTCTGTGATATTGTCATAAAGACCATGTGGTTACGGTATTCTTTTAGTTGAAGCCATGTTTAATAACCTTGATATTATCATATTTCCAGTTTACGGGGAATAAGTGCCGATGATCTTAAGATTTTGAAGGCAAAACTTGAGCAGGAGGTAACCTTGCAGAGCAGTTTAGTATTTTGATGTATAATTAAATTTTGTAGTTTATTATTTCAGCAACAAGTCTCTTTGTAACCTCATTGATTACTTGTATAGAAATGTAAGTAAACAGGCATCATAGTATTTGGTAAACGTGTGTGCTTACTTGCTTATGCAATATGCATAAAGTGATCATACAGCTAAATGAGTGATGTGAAGTTGTCAAAGTTGCACAGATTCTTATTCCAAACTTCCACCTTTACAGGCATCTGAAAATCTTGGTATGGCTATGATTTACACTTTGGTTACATCAGCTAAGGATTGGATGTCAGAAAAATTTGGCCAAGATGCTAGTGCTGACAATGCTGAAGAACAAGAGGCAGAAAAAGATGATGTATGTCTACCTGTTATATGCTTTGATTTTGTCTTGTGGTGATATTGAGACTATATTCAAGCATGTAAAGAATTTCTCACTTTGCGTGTTTCTTAGCAACTCAAAGTTTAAAGATCCCAATGCTAGAACTTAAAATTACAAATCTCACTAATAACCAAACAGTTGCTATCATTGCTTCAGCACATTTAACGTGGGATTGAACAGAAAACGGTTTAAACCATTCTGTCACTGATGCTGGACATCTGTTTTGCTTGGTTCACATGTTTGATATGCTGGCTGTTATCACATCTTTCTTAATTGTAAATGCTTGCCTTCAAAGAGAGTATTTCCTAAATCTTCTTTTTTTAATCAGGTAATTATACCACATGGAGAACCTGTTACTGTTGAGACATTTTTGGCATGGAGAGAAAGGTTTGAGGCAGAATTGGCACTAGAGCGAGCCAAGTAAGTTTGGCTATAGATGCTTTTGTTCTGTACAGACATGCCGATGCGCACAGTTGTCTGCGCCACATGTGTACACACACACACAAACACTCCACATATCACTTCTTGTTAGGGTTTGGTTTTCTAGCCCTCCAAGCTTGTTACTCCAAAACTTATTAAGTTTATTAAAATTGATTATTACTTATTAGTACTGTATGTGAGCTCATATGTAGTTGATTTTGACTGTTGTCGAGTGGCTTGTTACATTTCTATTTGTTGGCCTATGCGTTGAAAGTTGAAACACAATAAGCATCACAGAGCTATCTCCCATCTTATAAAATTAAAATAAAGGCTTTGAGGGTTCTCTGGTGACTTGTAAAATTTCCCTTCTCTCTCATAGTGTTGTTGCAGTGAAATGTATTTTCTTCAGATCACTTCTATCTTATGCAAATGTCATGAAAAGGAATCATGTCTTTCCTTTTTGATTCTTAAGATAAATTTTCTAATTAAGTTCTTATTGCTTGACCATTCATCAAGCCAACTCTGTAATAAGATTTTCTAGAATTGGTAGATCAGTTTCAAGCTAGCTTTCCTTCTGGTTCATTCAGAGAATTTCCTGAGCCTGTCATAGTTGATCTATCCTTCCAGCATATGGTGACTTACTTATTGGGAAATCTATTTTTTATATGAAAGACATGCATTTGTTTATAACTTATATATTTGTTTTTTCAATTACAGGTTAATGCCCGAGGCTGCTCTTACGGCACCTAAAGAGAAGCGGCTCACAGGCAGGCAGTGGTTTGAAAGTGGGAGAGCTGCTGCGGTAATTTATACTTCCCATTGTGTCTCTCAAACATGATTGAGCTAACCTTTATGCACTTTTTAACTAGGATCTTGGTAGGATCATTGAAACAAGTAAACTATAATCTCCTCTAAATTGACGAGGAATCTGTAGTTGGTTGAATGGAATGCAAGGTGGCATGCTTTAATGACAATAACAATTAACTGATGGCTCTTTGTCCAGTAATCTAATCCCTGTTTCTTAAGATTAGAATATAATATCTAGGATTACATTTCTTGTTGATAACAATCATTGTTTCTGCGTGATGGTTGGTCTTTCTTGATAAAGTTTAAGATAAGAACTCTATTCACTTGGTAGGATTAAGCAATAAGCAATAGTTTTAATGTCATGACCCGAGATGGCTTCTCAGTTCTCCTTCTCCCCATGGTGTATGGTAATTAAGTAATTATGACTCAATAAAGAAGAACATCATCCTAGTATCCTTTCTCTACACAAGGGCTATGTACCCTATCCCCTCACTCTGTACCTATATTAGTGGAGGAAGAGCAGAGGGATGACTAGGAGATGATAGCAGTAATGTGTTTAATTAATGGGTGCATGTATGGTATAGAAATAACTTCTCCATTCTGCAGAAAGGTGCAGCCAGAGTCGATGAAGGATCTGGTGAGGAAGATGAAGAGGAATTTGAGCTTGATGATGATGATTTTGAAGGTGAACCCTTCTCCTCACCCATAAACTTGATGTTTACCAAGAAAATTTGCTGCAGGCTTTTTGAGTACTAGGTATTTTGACAAGGTTTGTTGAAACTGTCTTCTCTGTGGTGATGTTGTAGATGATGAAGAAGATATGTTGGAGCACTATCTCGCTGAGAAATCTGACTCGTCCTCTCATACTTCAAAGAGGGCTGCTTGAATGGAAGCATCAAAATTTTAAAAAATTAGAATTTATGGAGAATTTTCTGGTATTGATGATCTTCCATTTCTCAGGCAATGCATTTCATATGTATTTTTGGCTTATTTTTGCTTCTGACGGGAAAGTAGGATCCGTAGAAGTGATTGTCATCTTCCTTCCATTAAATTCTTTCAGAATGGTGGGAATGGAGGTTAGTTGAAGAAGAACAGGTTGTGTCGTAATATTGAGTTTCTGTTACAAGGTACCATCTGTAATGAAAAGTTCACCGCTATGCATGGACGGTTCTGGGGTACATACAGAATTCATTTAAATAATTAGAAATTTTTTTATTAGTTTTTTTATTAGTCCTTGATTAGTTTTTTTTCTCTTCACTTAAAATTTGTCTTTAATTAATTGTGTTTGTTCTTCGTTGTCTTCCCCACTTTAGCAACTCTACTTTAATTATCCACTTTTAATACCAAAATTATTTCTTTATCTTTTTTTTAAAAGATAATATTAATATATAGGGATAGCAACGGTCCTTACAAGGGCAGGGATCCCCTCGCCATCCTCAACCCTACCAATGGTAGGTATGGGGATCTAAAAATTTGAAACAAGACAAACAAGCACTAAATATATACAATCAATATATACATGTCAAGTAGGTCTAAGTTAATATATATATGTCAAGTAGGTCTAAGTTAATATATACATGTCAAGCAGGTCTAGCAAGTTAACATGAAGAAAAAAAGGCATAAATTGCCATATAGGTTCAACAAATCTAAAAAAAAGTTCATAAAAAAGGGCATAAATTACAACTGTCACACAAGCTTAGATTTAGCAAAGTTCATATTTAGCAAAGTTCATAGAAACAAAATGCATAAACTATTGCTATAGATGTCTAACAATAAGTTCATTAAGAAAATGGGTATAAAAGAGTCTAATAAGTGGCACATGCATACACATCCGTCCAATCCAGAAAGGCGAACTTTGCAACAACTTAAACTAAGCTTGATCGATAATTTCAAGTTGAATAAATAACTTCCAGAAACAAAAACAAGTACCCCAGGTTAACAAAATTTTAGAAAAAAATCTTTATATCATATTGAAGATTAGAGACAGAGCTATGGGCACAACCTTTCGAAGGCTGCCAAGAATGATAGGTTGAAGGGAATTGACTGATTGAAGAACAAAAACAGAGCCAGTGAGCTACAGCGCAATCTGCGTAGAGGAAAGGAGACTGAAGTTTGGAGAGGAGAAGGAATCATAGTTTGTAGTTTCATAGATTTAAAATCTATATATGGGTAGTAATCCTTCTAGTTCTAGTTCTAGGGTTACTACTTACTAATGCAAATTGGGTTGGGCCTAGGCAATTAAGTTTAGGAAGATTATGGGCTGTATGAGATTGTATAATTGAGTTTGAAAAAACTGAAAAAAGAATAGATTGGTCAGTTAATTAGGTTGAATAAATAAAAATTAATTGTTAATATATTTAAATATATATATAAATAAATTTATATTTTCTTTTATTTTATGTGGATTTCTATGGTTTTCCACGGAGTGAAGGAAATTTCCCACAAAATTTCACAGGGAAAACAATGCCTCCATCCCTAGCATACGAGAAGAAATATTCTTGAAATCTCTATCCCCATGGCAGGGATATCCGCAAAGCTCTGTAGGTCGTGAAAAAAATTGTCATCCCTATTAATATATGTAAAATTATAAATTTTCTACAATTTCTTTGTAATTTGTGACTTTTTAAAAAAAAAAGAAAACTATTATTATGAGATGTAGGGACCAACATTAGTACAGAATGTAATGTATGTAGTAAAGGGAAAATAATATTTGTCTTAAATACAACAATTATGTAGTATAAGGGGGTTGCACTTGGCCCGTGTGGTCCAGTGGTTAGAGCCATTGAAAAGTGCACATCCCCTTCCCCTGAGCGGGTTTCGAACCCGCCCCATGACAAAATTGTTCAAAAAAAAAATGTAGTATAAGGAGGTTTAATAGCATCAAAAAGATAAAAGGGGTTTAAATGAAAAGAAAGTTTTTAAATGACTTACCAAATTTCAATTTGTTATAAACCATAGAAAGGAAAATCTTCCACATGCAAAAGCTGAAAAATTGAGTAGGGACTAACTGATATCAATTTATTGTCATTGTTATTAGCAAAGCATCAGCAGCGATTTGAGTCAAATACCGAACCAGGAGTAAATGTTTCTGCTACCCCAACCCTGTTGCGTCTACAGACAAATTGCTCTTCTTAAAGCCATAAATATTTCAATCAATTTTATAACAAGCCATCCTTCTGATCTGTTAATTATTACATGCATTATACGTATGTTACAAGGAGGTGTTTTTACTTCAATACTTGTTGACACTAACTTTGATCATTTAAATCCTGCATTCTGTATGATAAGCTTAAGGAGTTCTCCAGCTGCCACTGAGCGACACATCTCCTACATCAGCCATACTGTAACCATGAATAGGTTTTTTGCTAGCAAGTAGCAAGCAAATAGTTCAACACAATTCTTTTCTTCTATACACATCCTTGATCTGTCATGGCTTGAGCAATAGCCAGAAAAGCAGAGATGACTGCTCCATGTACTAAAGCCCTGTTAAACATAAATGATTGAGAAACAAACCAATCTGATCTCCAAGCAGTAATGCCAATTATAACAGAAATTGTTAATTGTACTACCTAACACCCACTTGGGACAACCTGAAGTTGCAACCTCAACAAGGGAAAAAAACGATACAACAAACAATAATGTTTTTTTTTTTTTGCTCACTTTCTAATTCTGGTTATACTGTTAAAAATGGAAAAGGCACTTACTCAGGATTATCTTTCTGATAACCAAAATCATCGGCTGCCTTGAGAACTCGCTGGTATGTTTGTTTCATTGCTTCCTGCAAATAGATGTGTGGAGACAAGAATCCCGAGAAAAATATTTCAGTGGACATATCTACAAATTTTTTATTTACCTAGTTAAAAAAGGGCGCAATCTCAAGAAGGCCACAAAGAATAATTTCAAAAGAAGCCAATTCTAATTTGATTGTCCTGCATTGGCATGAGTTGCAAATTGACTTGTCCATATCACTTCAGGAGAATGCATTTTAGTTTATTATGATAAACCACGCAACACCAGCATGTTACAAACTTGCAGCTTGGTTCTATAGACCAGAGCTACAAACATGACGTGATAGGATATATGACTATCTGGTTTCTACAGAAGCAACTAACCATATGAACTTAAAAAATAGGCATCACATTTGCGTTTACTGCTTTCTGCAAACTATGAATTTCGTTCTGAATACCATCCTCAACCATGGTAAAAGTACCTGCAATTTAGATTCAAAATCCTCCGGTGACCAATGCATTACATTACACTCATGGTTCAGTTCAATTTCTCCTGCAACAACCTGCAAGAAAGCAGGTCAAAGAGTGAGCAAAGCAAATCACATAAATGATGTGAATAAAAATGTTAATTAAAATGAGCATTAATGTGGATGAAAAATGATAGGCACTCAAGCAGTATCCTAATTTGCATGGTGACTAGCCACCAGAGTTTGCCAAATTGTTTACTAAGACAAGAAGGGAAAATCAATTGCCAACTCAAGCAGTCTAGAAAGTTTTAAGAAATCAATGGAATGCATGATTTGAGGAAATTTCTAAATAAACAATTCCAACATGTGTCTCATTCATGTAATAAATCAAGCTTAACTTCAAATTAACCTGAACCAGCTGAAAAGAAAACATTATGACTAAACTTGTGTGACTATCAACATTAATTTCATCATGATATTTTCCCCTCACATGTGAAAAGGCATATAATCATGCATACATCAGAGAAAGTGTATGAATATCGCACCCCTCCAGCACCTGCAGCCATGGCAGGAGCAATGAGAACACTATTCTTCCTGAAAGTATCGACTGCTTCTGGAGTACATGGCATGTTTGAGCCTAGAAAAAAGACAACAATGAATAAATTTTCCTCTTTTTTTTTTTTTTTTCCCCAAATGAAAAGATTCTAACAGCTTTTGCACATCATATCCAAGATTTTTACCTTCTATGAGTATACGACAACCTGAATTAACCAAATTAGTGGCATCAGCCTGGTCAATTTCATTTTGGGAACCACAAGGAAATGCAACTTCACACCTTTCATTCCAAGGTTTTGCTTCATCATAGTATTTGGACCGAGCATAAGTCTTTGAATAATCTCTGCAAAGGTTGTATGAATAGAAATGCCCACAAAATTATCAACAAGAACAACTCTGAAAACAGGAAGCAAAATGAGAGAGGTGAAGTACATACCTCAAACTTCTTTGTTGGGCTTTGAGTTCTCTCAAAAATGATATTTTCATGTAATCAAATCCATCTTCATCAACCAAATATCCTTTAGAATCTATGCAACATTTTGTAGGTAAATGCAAGTGCATTAGAAGAATTAATCAACTATCAGAGTGACTTCTTAGTGAAAAATATAATAAAGAAAAAATGAACTGTCTAAACTAACTTCTGTCTGCTAGGATTATTAACTAAACAAAATGTGCCAGTGAGTTTACTTGCCTGATTTCTACCATGCATGATACTCCCAATAAATGAACATTAATGTTAAGGTAGCAAAACTATAACACACAAAACTCCTATTGAACCATCATATTGAAAACATTGCATACTTAAGGGTCCTCTAGATCACTAACTCATTTGAAGCCACCAAAGAAATGGGTAAACAAAACAAGCTAAGATGGAAATCATAACTGCAGTTGAGAAGTATACAGACTAACATCCTAGCTCAAAGAATTATGTCAAAGCAAAACTCTCCAGGAAAGCCAAGGCCAAAAAGGGGAGAGCAATAAGCATTTCTTCTATAACAAAAGTTCAGTCAACCTCTGAATGACTGTCTGAGAAATTTCCTTATAAGAAAGAGATCCCCACTCCTAAATGAAATATTCCAAGGTGGTATAAAATTGAATGGCTACTATATTAATCACTACACAATAGGCATCAACCTCATTGGTAATGGCAGTTGTTTATCTGGAATTACCTGATACTGTGATAGGAATACCACCAAAAGCAACAAGCTTCTCTAGAACATGCATTGCAATCTTTCCAGAACCACTTACAACACATCTGAAGGAAGATTCAGGGAGAAAAATATTAATGTTAACAAATTTGCCGAAAAACTGAAAATTGTAACCAAAATATTAAGTAAATAATCTTTAAGGAAGAAAAGAACCATCAACAGAATAAAAAAAATAATAGAAAAAATGATAAAGAAGTTTTAATCAAATAGCCAACAAAATAAGATGTTCCTTGGAGACGTCCAATATAAGTCAGCTCCAAAAATAAGGTGACTAACCTCAGACCTTTGAGCTCTTTATTCATCTCTGCAAGAATAAGCTGGGCAAAGAAAACCTACAAAGGCATTGAGACATCATCATTTCAAGCTATTGGAACAAGTACATACAGAGCTGACTGCACTGATATCAAGAAGAGATATCCTAACAAAGAAGAGAATATCTTCTTCCACAAGCAGGGAGAAGAATAGGCTGTTCAGTGTCACATTTTCCAACCTACTGATGGTCACACAAAGATGGTATTGAAGGTTGAGATTAGAATTGGTTACCAGCCCATAAGCAGTCGCTTCAGTTCGCAGGCTAGAACCAGACCAAAATATTCTTGGCCCTGTAAAACTTCCCTGCATAAGGAGCATAAATGAAGCCATAGAGACAGACTTTAAACAAAATGATAGGTTTGATCCGTAAAGAACATGAGTATCAAATAATTAGCGGAACATCAATTTCTAAATAACCAAGATCTAAGGTCATGGTTATAATATATTTATGTTTACACTCACACATAAATTTTTAGAAGTCTTTGGCCATGCACAAAAAGTTTGATAGGTTAACATGCAAGGACCATGTAAGAAGATACTCAAAGTTTTGGGTATAAGTCTTTAATCCAACAGCTAACGTTGACTTCATTCAAGTCCCCCATGGCCCTATCCTGAGCATAATAGATCTAGTACTCAAGACAAAAGAAAATAAGCAGAAAGAGGGTATAAATTGATAATTATTTAAGCAAAAAAATTCATGAAATTACCCAATAGAAATAAATTATCAAATTACTCGTCCATAGCAAGAATTGAAGAGGAAATGTTATGGTAGAAGCTTAATAAATCAAGTAGAATCTTCAAGGGTTTCAAATACCTGAAAGAGACCAGCTAGACGTCTATACTGTCCAAAGAGATAACCCATTTCCCGAATGCCCACACCCATCTCCTCTGATGGAAGATCCTAATTCATACAACAGAAGATCAGAAACAAGAGACTACAAAGTAAGAACAGATATGAAGTAATAAGATAAGAGGAAATCATTCTTAGGTTACCTTGTCGGGACCCAAATACCGATAGATCTCATTCATAAAACTTTGGCAAAAGCGCATGATCTGCCAGCGTGGGTTTCACAAACAACTGTAAGAGGAACTTTCAGAACTTCTAAGAAGGTTCATAATGAGAAATTGTCATAATAGAAAACTGTAGTCTTACCTCATTATCACTTTTTCCTTTTGGATCAAAATCACTTCCACCTGCTGCCCCTCCTAACTTGTATGGTGATAATGCATTCTTTAGTGTCTGTAAAGGAGGCAGAAACCCACAATTTCAAATTAATTAAGGGTTTTAAAAGAGACAAAAATTCTCATTCCTGTTTGATTTTAGTTGGCATGGTAATTTAGGATTCCTTTACTAGTAATCAAGCAAATTATCAGCTCTCTACGTATCTATCTTTGCAGGCAGGACAATTTCTAGAGCTGGCCTATCTTAACATTTGTAGGGCTTTAACAGATGCCTAGAATCTAGATTTTCACCAAAAAGGTAAACCATGGGATTACTTGCTAAGTATTTGACATTACAATAGGACTGTTAATTACAGAATTAGAGCTCATAATCATGGAAAGAGCAATAAATACCTGTTCAAAACCAAGAAATTTGGCAATACTTAAATTCATGGTTGGATGAAAACGGATACCGCCCCTACATGGACCAAGTGCCTGATTAAATTGTACCCTGAAGCCTCGGTTGACATGTGTCTCACCCCTGTCATCCACCCATGAAACTCGAAAAACAATCATACGCTCAGGTTCCAAGAGGCGCTCCATGATATTAGCATAGCTGAAATTTGATGAAGCAGAATGAGACATGTTCTTATACATTTGACTGGGGAATCTTAAGATAATGAAGTACAAAATTAGATATATTTACTGTGAATTTTTCGCAATCACCCTCTCTAGAGCATGAACAACCTCTTGTACAGATTGAATGAACTCAACCTCATGAGGATCCCTTTTTAGTGCAGCTTCAATGATTGATCCAGCTGTTTTTGACATAAGAGCTTCAATTTAAGGGGAAAAATATATCAGAGGGATAGCCTTAATGGATTGTTACTTTAAAGAGATGGCTTGGAAGTATCAATAGCCTTGTGCAGGAATTTGTTACTTGAAAGATTCATCACATTGTGATGACTGACCTTTCACATAAATGGGTTTATCAACAACAATCTTATCCTTTGAGGCCATTTGGAGACGCAAAGCTTCTTTGTGAAGCAAACTATTGTTGTGCTCGTCCAATGCACTCATCTGCATATTTCTACTACCTTCATTACCATAAGGATTTCTTCTATGCTTTCTACCATATTCTTTACAAACAGAGCAGAATATCCTTGCAGTTCCATCCTTGACATCAACATATGCCCACTTAAAAGTGTCAGCCCATTCCTCTCTCCATCTTTTTACAACTTTCTTCTTCCTCTTTACAGGTTGCAACTTAGATATATCTTGATCATCATTTGGAAGTTGAGAAACTATTCCCATCTGCTTTGTGTCATCGTTCTCTTCAGCAGAAGGTTCATGTGTTGGGCCACCAATAAGAGGTGTGTGGGCAAAAGAAGGATCATCATCACCCGGTCCAATTTCCAAATCAATCTCTTCACCGAGATCCCTGACTAGATGCCTCTGTGCTTGAATCAAGTTCATATCATCCATTGTGGAATTCATCTCTAATCCGCCAAATGGTAGCAACATTCAGCATGTCAATCTCAACAACACCTTAAAGGTGCTACTTTTCCTGTTAATATGAAAAGAATGGATAATTTATTTTCATAAAGTGTTACATACACTAATAAATTACATCTCAAATAGACAATAGCGAAAATTAATGATATTTTTCATTTCTGAAAAATGGATCTCACATTTTTCATTTACCACTTGCATCAGCTAATTACACTAATTGTCTAGGTCAAATTGAGTTGAAATTTATATCCTTTGAATACCAGACAACTCAACGCATAAACTTCAATTTGATTTCTTATACTGTGCCCAAATCTTCCAATCAATAGAAAATATCTCCAGAGTATGATGTCACTGATGTCTGCATAATGGTTGGGTAACAAATGGCCATATGCCTTTATATAATCACAGAGAATATGTTAAAGTGAATTATACTCATGATGTGGCAGCAGACCAGAAGAAGCACAGACACTGAGCCACAACTCAAACGTCAAATCCAATTCAAGCTAAACCCAGAATAAACAGAAACAGATCATTCTAAACTGATATGAGAAATGCAATCAACATGCCACCATAAAAATGAATGAAGTTTGCAACTTTCCCCTGAAACCAGGTATCTATACTCAATTCCCAATATATCTCAGGAACTCAAAACAGTAATCAAACCTTTTTGGTTGCCGAGGAAAGTGAACACTCTCTCACCTCCCTAAACAGACCGTGCAGCACGCATATTTATGCATATTCAGGATCCAAACAGCAATTGGGCAAGTTTGATTATCAAATCAGTTATAGAAACCCAAGAAAAAGGACCCAGATTCCGTTCTAATCCTCACCTCTAAGTTTCCTCTGTAACCCACAAGAAATCCTAAAATAAAAACTCCAAAATTGCCCATAAAAAGCTATCCCAAGCAATAAGACAGAATCATAAAACCATCAGAAAAAACAGAACGAATTCAAAAATTATTCAGAACCCAAAAAATTTCATACAAAAATCAACAACCCCAGAGCTGAAAAATAATAAATTTCAAAACCTTCAACATACCCAGAAGCTAATTCGGATGTTCAAGAAATGCCCATGAGCTGAAGTCAAGCGAAAATCGAAGTAGCATGAGAATTTCACATAAAGGTATGTACTTTGAACAAGAATCCAAAAGTTGCTGCCCCCAGCGTCGTAAAGTAGCTCTCTTTTTGAGTCCGATCCCTTGTCTGAAACCGCACTGGATTACAGTAAGAGTGAAGATCGAGCTGTTTTTGATCATGAAATGATGACTCTCTTCTTTGCGTCCGGTGAAACGGTTGAAACGTAATTGAGAATCTTATAGCAGTAAAATTAAAGAGTATCATTTAAAAAAAAATAAAAAAATAAAAATTAAAGAGTATGTAGAAGATTTCTCTGATTTATTTATTGATTATTGGATGAAAATAACTTCATTAAATAAAATGTTGAATTTATATTGCCAATAATCTAAGGGGGCTAGTGATGGTAAGGGATTTAGGGGAGACAAGCGGGTAGAATGACTTAAGAGAGAAGGAAGAGTTGTTTTTTTAGTGTGTAATTAAAATTTTTAAAAAATATATTGAATTTGTAATAAAATAAAATCTAACAAGTGTGCATTTATTATTTTTGTTTAAAATAATTATTTATAAAATTATTTAAATATTTTTAATAAAATTTTCTTATGTTGTAATTTGTTAAAGGTATTCAACTCTCTACAAATGCTTTCACCTAATGCTTTGACATCTAATTTTTCTCAATTTCAAAAAAATACTAATATATTATTACTTCAATTGAGACTAAAAGTTCACACATTAGGATATAAGTGTTTTTACACATTAGGATACAAATGTTTTTAGTCTGAATTGAATTTAAATATTAAATGGACATGCCCAATGAGTATAAATCTCATTATAAGGTGCATCCTTAGTTTTAGAATTGAAGTTTGAATCTCCTCTCTAATAAAAATTATAATCTATTTAAAAAAAATATTTGTAATGTGTTTTTACCAAAATAATTTTCTGCATATCTATGTTTTTTTTTATTCGTTTTTTACTTTACTTTTAAATTAAGAATTTGAGAAAAAACAAAATCTACTTATAAACAAATTTTATATATCACACTTTTATAAAATCTCAATCATTTAGTTTTTCACTTTTAATAATCAAAATTTATTTACATTTATTAAAGATAATTATCTTTTTTACTTAAAAAATTGTGATAAATCTTAATTATTGAAAGTGAAGAAATATAACTGAGATTTTATATAAATATAATGGATAAAACTTGTATATAAATAGTTCCCTTCTCTTTGAAAATTTTTTATGTATTTTTATATTATCCTCAAAAAATGAATAAAAGATAAAAAGAAATTTTTTGTAATAAGATGATTAATTAAAGTAAAAAATCAGAG